TAATAAAATTCTCTCTCTTTCTTTCCATTTCTGCCCATCCTCTGTATTCCTGCTGTCTCAGGAAAAGAAAAAACCACAAGGTTGTGTCCTCATGGGTGTGGCATCCACAGGACTGCAGATCTCTGAGGTCATTCCAAAATCATGGCCAATTACATCATTCATGCCATGTGTATCATACTGGAAACACAAATCATATTCTACCCATAAGCGTAGAGTTTTCCACTCAGGTTTGCACAAACCAGCACTAAACCGGTATCATTCGACTTGGTGCAGAATATAAATTCCATACCTGTCAACCCTCCCATTTTTTTAAATACCCGGATGCTCCAGTATTTTACCATTCTATCCTGCTATCATCCCATTGAAATATTTTCCCGTATTTCTCCCGTATTTTTAATCCATTTCAGATTTAAGGGAAAAAAAATCTTAAATGTTGTAATGTGAACCGGTGAATCGTCAAGAAGATAATGAATTATAAAAAATCTAAAGATATAGCCTACACTAAGATATATTTATATGTTACTAAATGAATATAATTGTTTGATAATAATTGTTTAAATTAATATAATTAATAATAATTAAGAATTCTTTTGACCCCCCAACCCCCCTGGTTTCCCGGATTTTGGTACTCAAATGTTGACGGGTATGAAATTCATGTTGGTTCAATCTAGTCATTTCACTCATAGCCATGTCACCCTTACGGTTATATATATGTGTCTCATTTCTACTCTCCAGGTGTTGAATGGAGAACAGCAGTTTGTGTGTGATTTGCCATGGCCCTCCATTCATTCCATTACTTTTCAGGTTCTATTGATTCTACTGTTTACAAATTCAACCAGTCAGCTATCACTTATGACTAAAGAGCATCTTTTTAAGGAGTTACTTGTTGTTTTCAGCATGTTTAACCCTCTGTTTTGCAGTTTTAAATTATGGTCTTGGTTTCACTACAGGGCAGGAAGTTTGACATTCGTGCTGATGTGTTGCATGAGAAAAAGCTGGTGCTCTATAGTCTGTCTGTCCTTCATGCCAAAAACCTGCTGCAGCACATAAGCAACAGTCACCGATTGCATCTCAACACAAAGCCCTTGGTCATGAGGCTCAAGGAAAAAAACGGTCAGAGTCCAAAATAACAATAATTCTGTGGAAGACGGTGGTGCTGTGCAAAAAGCATCTGTTGTGGTCTATCATCTTCCTGTTTTACCACCTTCACATTTTAGATTTGTTTTGACAGAAGTCTCTTATGCTCACCAAGTCTGCATTTGTTTGATGAAAACAAGGAAAACAGGAAAAACTGCAATATTCTGAAATATTATTATAAGCATTTTTTAAAGTAATTTATTTCTGTGATGGCAAAGCTGAATTTTCAGTTGCTATTCAAGTAGATCCTTCAGAAATCATTCTAATATGCTGATTCAGTGCTCAAGAAAAATACTATTAACAAAGTTGAAAACAGTTTTGCTGCTTAATAGTTTTGTGGAACCCATGATATATCATTTAAAAGTCTGGGGCAAAATTAAAGCGAGAGAGAGAAAGAAAGTAATATTTTAATTCAGCAAGGATACATTAAATTGATCAAAAGTAACAGTAAAGACATTTATAATGTTACAATATTTCTGAAGGATCATGTGACACTAAAGACTGAAGACTGGCGTAATGGCTGCTGAAATTTCAGCTTTGCCATCACGGGAATAAATAACATTTTTAAAATATACTAAAATAGAAAACCGTTATTTAAATGATAATATTTCACAATATTACTCTTTTTGCTGTATGTTTGATAAAATAAAGCATGAGAGACTTAAAAAAAACAAAAAACAATGGGCAGTAGGCATGTAATAAATTGGATAATGTAAAATTAGTCTGCCATTATGACAAATTATTACATGGCTCTGGGGAATACTCGATTCTGATTAGTCAGTCACCATATTCCAAGGTATGTTCACTGATCTTCCCTGAATGTTGAAATTAACATTAAACAAGATTAATAAAAAAAAAAAGTATGATAATTGTTAGTGTGTGTTAATAGTGAAAATGTACACAATCATACTGTAACTATTATAATTTCTTTATTTAAATATTTTACATAACTAGACATTATCTGTTTAAATAAAGGGAGACACCGAGAGATGTACATCACAGATGGAGCTGATCTGGACATGGAGGACAGTGATGATGAGCTTCCACCAATGAAGTTCCTCTTAGACAATGTCCAGAAGCAAACCACTGGCACCACTGAATGTAGAACTGTCACAGGTAAAGAATTAGACTGAAGTGTGTAACTTCACCAGCATGGAATTATAGACTGCATCCGAAATCACATATCTACTATACAGTAGATGGAAAAACAATATGTGACACAAGAAGTATGTCCAGATTATTAATATTTATAAAAGAGTAGATAAAAAGTACCATGGATGACCTACTGCTACCATTGAGTGTCTGAAGTGTGCATAGGAGTCTACGAGAGAGAGTTTGTGAATGGCAGTGAAGCGACGCAACTGGTGCTGGCAGGTCATGTGATAATGACAACATGACGAATGTAGTACATCCATATTACATTCATACTATCCACCTTTTTCTTCAACGCGGAAGTAAGCCTATGGGTGAGACTTCCGGATCATTAACTGCTATAGGTAAATAATGAGAAGAATAACAACGTGCAGTAAACGGTAAAACGGTTTGCTCTACAAACCAGTGTGTTCATAATTAAGATAATATGGTAAGACACACCAGTTTTCAATATCAAGCAGCAAAACTAACTGTTTTGTACAGCTAAAAATAGCTGGATGCGAATGAGACCAGAAGCTAGACCCATAGAATTTACAAATGGCCGTGCCCATTTTTACGGCAAGAAAAAGGTGGATATAGAACATACTTTTTTAGCAGTCGTGAAGTAATTACTTATCCAACATACCTATTTAAGAGAATGTGATTTTTGGATGCAGCCATAATCTGTTTGATTTAGAGGCCAGACAAAACAATTTGTGCGGGGCATTTTTATGTCTACTGTCAGAAGCAAAATTGTAAAAGACAGTAAGACTTGTTTTCATAGAATACATCCACAATATGCTTATTCTGTAAATGCTGCATCCAAATATTAATACGTTTATTTTTCTAAATAATTTATTGCAGATTTTATAGCATATTTCCTTTTCTTTTATTGGATTTTCTATTACATTTTCTTGAATTTATTTTATTTATTTTTTTTTTTCTGTCCTTTATGTCTGCTGTAAAGCCTCAGTTTCTTATTGGGGTAAATACTGTCATATATGATCTTTCCTACATTTACTTAATTTTTTTCCCACTACATTTTGTGATATTTATACTGAAAACAAAAACAAACTTTGCCAATATGGTAAGAAAACCAAATTGTAATTCAGTTTATTCTCTTGAAAACACATCTGAGAGTGGTATAGCCATTTCATAAGCCATGAAAAGTATGTATTGCATCAGTTAACTGAGTTTTATGGCAGTATAAAATATGATAAGATACTAGATAATGCAATACGCCCTTACCTCGGAGGGAGCTCAGTTATGGTCAGCACTGCTGTACACCTCTCTTAACACAAACCTTCCTCTCACATGCAAGAAATTTGTCTGGAACTCCCCCTTGTCCGTTACTAAACACATTCCCTTCCAACCACTTTTGTTGGTTTTTTTACAGACCTGACTCCTTTGTTTAGTCCGACACAGTCAGTGTGTTCTCAGGTTTTTTTTTTTTTTACCTTTTATTTAACCTCCTTAATTATTACCTAATGAGATTTAAATACAATTAAAGTTACTCTAGATTCTAATACAATTTTGCTTCTCAAATAAATTGATCTTGATGTTTTTTCATGGAATTCAAGACAAAAAAAATACTAATTAGACCACTTTACCTTTCAAATAAGTCACTGGTGTTTTTGACTCAAAGATAATGTCTCATAGATTTAGACATTTATTCATGTCCCTATTTGTTCATTACTTGCGGTTTAGAGATGAGTGTTGATGAGCCAGAAGAAATGTTGGTAGATGATCCTGAAGACGTCCTGCGTTTAGTTGAGCTGTTGGAGGGAGTATGGATGGTCCTTTATTTCTACCAATTTCTCACTGGAAATGTGAGAACAGGATGTGGTGTTTAGTTTAGCTTCTTAAATAAAAAAAATAATAATAATAAATAAAAAATATTCTTTTTTTAAAAAATTACATAATTCAGCATGGATTCATTAAAATAAAAAAAATGTAAAAAAAGTGACTGTAAAGACATCAATAATGTATTGTAATGTAAAAAAAAAAAGTATTATGACTTCCACAAAAATATCACGGCACTCAAGCACAATATTGATAATTAGAAATGTTGTGCTGTATAAGCACCAAATCAGCATATTAGAAGGATTTCTGAAGAATCATGTGACACTGAAGACTGGAGTAATGATGCTGAAAATTAACCAACAGACCGGTCTAAGCTGATTTAAGTGAGAAATGGAGAACACTTACTGAAATGTAATTTGAACATTTCCTTTTTCCTATCTGCAGATCTTACAGTGGAAAAATACAAGCCTGACATCACAGTCTCTTACAGTAAATGTCAACCGGAAGTGGCAAGCAGTCCTGGGCAAGCAGCTTTGGAATGTAATGTTTTGAATGAACTAGGAATATGAAACTTTTGAAAACTTACTTGCACATTGTGAAACTTAAAATGACACATACAGTACATATCTGAATGGGTGACCTTTTGTCTTTAGGTATTTACCAGTGATTCCAATAGAGAAGTTGCATAGACCACGAGTACGGGAATGCTGATTAAACATTGCTAACTTTTAACATTCGAACAGAAGGATATAAACACCTTTATATTCAGGCTAACTTGATTATTGTACCATGGTGTCATCAGTGATTTGCATTGTGGTACAAGCAGAATTGTTATGATGCATGTCACAACATTGTATCTTAAGAAAAAAGGGTGGGCACACTGATGAGTTTGGCAGGCTTCACATCCTTTGCACACCTTCATTCACATTCTGTCATCATGCAGCCTCCAGTCTCTTGTGCATTGGTGAGTTTGTTTGATCTTTCTTTGCATGCTCTGTTCATCAGTTATTTATTAACACCCAAAGGGGTTGTCACAGTTTTACAGACTTAATCTAAGTTTGAATGGAAGTTCACGTTGAGATGAAAGCTTTGATTACATCTTCACACAACATATGGCAATGTCTATTTGCACGTGCATTTTTACGATCATAAATGGTTTCTATTCTCTCAGCTGAAATCTAAGTGTCATCTGATCTTGAGTCAGAGATGTTACAGATAATAGATAATAGCGATCCGTGGTTTTGGCCAGTTTACAGTCATTTTATAAGAATTTTTGTGTTTTTTTTGGCTTAGAGAAAACACGTGTTGTCTGGTCAAATTTTGTAGCAGAATCGGTGAAGTATGCAGTCAAAGTTCTTCAAAAACATCTGTTTTGTTCCACAGAAGTAAAAAAAAAAAATCATGCAGGTTTTGGAACAAAAGTGTGTGTAATAAAATCGGTTGCAGCCATTATCACCCTTCAGCTATGAAGATGTTCTCTCGCTGCTCATTGATATAGGAAATAAGTCACTACTTCCTGTTACATTTTCTGTTAAATCATTTAGTAGTAAACCCTGAGCATTGAATCCAGTGAATGTAATCATTCTTTCTTGATCCATGTTATTTCTGTCGAAGTGATTTGGGTATTACCCAAAACACGTACATAACGTGATCGTCAGTCTGACTCTCAACTCTGACTTTCATTTCGAATCGACTTTCTTGTAATTACAGTTTCTGTACTCTAGTGATAATATATTTGATTGAAATATATTTGATTGCTTACAGCATATAGATATATAATGACAGACATCTTTCTCTTGTTACCAGTCGTGTGACATGCCCTGACATGTCCACTACTACAGTGTGATGCTAATAATGCTCAACACAATAGCACTATTCTGTTAACAATCAAATAACGATTGCTTTAAAGTCTTCTAAATTTGAACAACTAATTTTGTACTTAATGCACTTTAATTGTAAGAAAGTAGTGATGAAGTCTAACTAAAGATATACTGACATATATTTGATTGTGCTAAAAGTGGAACTATTGCAAGCATAATTCAGGTACACTTTAAATATCTTGCATTAATAGTGACATTAAAACACATTTAGGCTTAATACTGAGAAATGTGCATTGTACACAAGCAGTACTCCAAATAAAGTTTAATTACAATTTTTATATCAGTAAGTGTCGAGTGATATGTCAGTAAATAGACAATCAATAAAGTAAATACAATATTAATAGATTTTAACTAGTATGAATGTGTGTCATAAAGAACATTTCAGATGGCATTGTGAATTTTACATGAAATAGTAGCCTACTCTGTCTGGCTGACTTGTAAAGTTTGGTAGAAGTCCACATAAGACTGTTTTACTCACTGCATTTCTTGTACCCTTTCCTCAGTCATCTCCTTTGTCTATGTCTGTCTGTCCCTTCTCTGCATTCTCACTCTTGTGGCTAAGCAGTAACTGAGTGCCTATATGATAGCAAACACCCATAGCAAAATAAAAAAGTAATATATTTCAAATACATTTATTTCATACTAAGTATAATTCAAATGTATTAACATATTTACTGACATATTGCTCAAGACTAATTATAGTTCAACTTTATTTGGACTACTACTTGTGCACTGTGCCCATTTCTCAATATTAAGCCTAAAATGTGTTTTAATGTCACATTGATGAGGACTGTATGATCTTTGAATTATATCGGTCTTTAAATGCAAGATATTTAAAGATATTGTACCTGAAGTATACTTGCAATAGTTCCCCTTAACCACAATCAGATACGTCAGTATATCTTTAGTTGGACTTCAGCACTACTTTCTTACAATTAAAGTGCATTAAGCACACAATTTAAAATTGTTCCAATTCAGCAGACTTTACGTATACCAGTTTACTATACTAAAAGTACAATTGCGAGGTATTTTTTATTAAGCACATAAATATGTAAAAGTATTTGTAGTATACTATAAATTTCAAATACATTTTAGTGTATTTATTTTTCACTAGGGACATACCATCAGAATGTAAGTTATTGGTTACTACCCGCTAGCTACACCTCACTGACTGTGAATTCTGGATATTTCATTTTCTCCCTCATCATCCAGCTCTTTGTCACAAAATAAGATTATAATAATAATACATCTTCTAATACATCTTTGACTCAAGTGCTATCCACAAGCTTTACCCACAAAATATTTCTCAGTGCTAAAGGGGCATAAGTGCAGTTATGTGTATGTGCAGTGTTAAGTATTTTGGTTTCTAATGAATAACAAAATTATTAAGAATTCACATTTGTCCTTTTTTTAGTAGAACGAGCTCATCAAGAGTTTCAATTGATATATATATATATATATATATCTCCATAGTCATCCATTTTAAGAGATTAGTTGACTAATCGCACATTTATATTAATAAACCATATAAATCATAATCACGAGCCTTTAAAGGGGTCATATGATGTTTTTTTAAAGATCATTATTTTGTGTATTTGGTGTAACAGAATATGGTGACATGCTTTAATGTTCAAAAAGCCTATCATAATAATTCATTGGTAAATAGTGTTTTCTGTCTTTCGGCTGCAGTGACAAAGTCAACGACACTGACTCGTCATCTCCAAGTGGATGTGAGTGTTTCATATGGATTATGTATCTGAAAATATTTGTTTTTCTATTTGAATTGGTTCATTTAAAGGGGTCACATGATGCGATTTCAATTTTTCCTTTCTCTTTGGAGTGTTACAAGCTCTTGGTGCATAGGCTTTCACCGTGGACGAAGCGCAGTCCAGCCCGGGGTCGTCACATGTGGTTGCCGCAAGCATCACAGTATGGTGAGGGACGTAACATTTCCGTCACACGCTTGAGGAATTCGGCCAATCACAATACACTGGATAGCTGGCCAATTAGAGCACACCTCGCTTTTTCAGAATGATGAGCTTTGTAAAAATCGACGCGTTTCAGAAAGACGGGGCATAGAGGAGAAACAATAATGTACAATATGTGGAAAATAATGTGCTTTTTGAACCTTAAACCGCATAAACACATTTCATTACACCAAATACACAAAATAATGTTCTTTTTAGCAGCATTATATGATCCCTTTAAAAATAGACATTTCGCTTTCTATAGATATATTTTTCATGTCTGTGAGTTTTGGCTCATTTTTAAAAATGTGTTTTTTTTTGTTTTTTTTTTAAGTTCACAGAGATACTTAGACGGCAGAAAGCACATCCTGTTTGCTTTCATTATTCTACAAAAGCACAACGTTTGGTGTTATTGTGACAAATAAAGTATTTGAATAATGCAGTGCAAACTGACATAGCGCTTATTACAGTAGCCTATAGAAACTATAAAATATATTTTCTACCTTATTCTGTGATAAAAATGAGGGAAAATAGTATATGAACAAATCTTTAAATTGCCATTAGGAAAATATAGGAAGAAATATTACAGAATAGTAATTGTCCAGCAGTGTATTTGATTTCTTAACCAATTAAAAGTAAGAGATAAGACAAAATTCAAAAATACAATTAGACCAAAAAAAAAAAATTAGAATTCTTCTTATTAAAAATGTTACATTTCACATTTCTGTCGCCCTCACTTCTGAAATGATGGCCACGCTTCTGACGCCACTTCCTGTGTATTTTTTCCCCCTGCGACTAAGCGATTAATAACATTTTGATCGACTAAGCTATCTTCTCATCGACTAACGGTTAGTCGATTAAAGGGACAGCCCTCAAAATTTCCCCACAGAACGTTTGCAGCTTTTACTACTGCATGATGTTAAATGTTCTATTCGTAATGCTGAGTAAATCGGGTGAGTTGACTCAAACCCATTCATCATTGAATCATTGACGCTTTTGTTCATTCTCATTAAACCTCCATCTTGGCCCTTTTGTGGTTGGTGGCCATGATTTTTATTTTGAGAATGGGGTTGTATTATTTAGGCTGGTCTATTTCTGAACTTTTCGGATTGGGTAAGGGGAATAAATAAAAAGAAAAAAAAAAGGATGTGGTAGTTGAAGACCTGGTGACAGCATGTTACCTGCATGCACGGCACGACTTTTTGTGAGGCTGATGCAATGCACCATACATAGAAAAAAAAAAAACATTCAGAGTATAAATGTAACTGCAGTGGTAATGGAAGTTTTTTCTCTCTCTTCTTTAACCTCAGACTTACAGATTATTTAATTACAATAAATTGCAATTATATTTGGAAGCTTTTGTATCATGCTGTCCTTGTACGATTGTTCAATGTTTTTTAAACAAGTGACTTATGCTCTCCGAGGCTGCATTTGTTTGGTCAAAAATACAGTAAAAACAATATTATTGTGGAATATTATTACAATTCTAAATAACCGCTTTCTATTTTATTTTAAAATTTAAATACATTTTTTTCCTGTGATGGCAAAGCTGAATTTTCAGCATCATTACATGATCATTCAGAAATCATTCTAATGTGCTGTTTAGATGCTTTTTCAGGATTCTTTGATTAAAAAAAGGGGTTTTATTGCATAAAATTATACATAATTTACTGTTATTACTATGGCAAGTATGTGTAATGTGTAACAGGGACACTGTAAAATAAAGTGTTGCCAAATCTCTTGTAACATTTATAAATGTCTATTATTCATTGATAATCTGCCCCATAATCCTAATTTTTGGGGAAAGGAACAAAAGTTGGTAGCTATGTATGTGTGTGCATGTACATTTTGCAGTTTTGCAGAAATGTAGTCCAAGTTGTGTATTTCCAATGAACTTGAGTTTGTAAAATAAAGTTACCAAATCTTTTGTATCATTATAAATGTATTTGTTTTCACTTTTGAGCAATTAAATGCATCTTTGCAAAAAAAAAATATATATATATATATATATACAGTTTTAGTTTAATGTCTATTTTAATATTATCACAATGATTCTAGTGGTATATATATGTTTAAAGTGTGTTGTATATCTGTTTACAGATGCTGATTTTTTGCCTGCATCTTTGCTGTAATGCATTACAAAATGGTAATTTCATTTTACTGTCATAAATAAAAAAACAAGACAATTTGTGTTTCACTGCAGCTTACCAGAACCAGCTGGAATGCGCTAAAGCCTTATACTATAGCTCACATTTTCTGTGATTCTTTAATGAAGTGTCTGTATGTTTTTCCACTTGAAAGCCATCTCTGCATTACATTATGATTAATTTTACATCTGATGTCTAATGTCTGATCTGAACAGAGTGCATTGTAATAATAAACAGTAAGCTATATAGTAAATTGAGGGCTTTATGATAGTGTGACTCTCGTACAAGTTACATTTTTGAAAACCTTTTGCTGTTAAATTGCATGAACAAATCTCAAATTCTGTTTTGTTTTTGTAGGAACGTGCAAGCTCAGAGTGGAATTTATAGAGACTGCAGAAAAGGTGTCTTGCTTTAAGAAGATGGATGGACATGTCCCAATTTGTAGGTCTCACAATTCAACCCAGTCATGTCAGATAGACTATAGAGATGGCAAGACGTGCATCAAGTGGCCGGTAGACACTGACCTCTCATGTGTGATGGATTCTAATGAGATGCTTAATACAGGTAATAAGTGTCCAAATTTTTTCAGCACTGAAAATAAACATTTTCGATTTTTGATTTATATATCAGAATACCTGTTTCTCCTACAGATGAAATCAACTGTGCCCATGACCAAGAATGTGAGTCAAAAGCAGTCATTTTAAATTTAGTTATAATGTACTTCATCATGAAGTAGGTAGGTATTTATTGAATATTTATTAAATCACTTTTTTCTTTTCTCTTTTTTTTTAAGCTATCAGTTGCAATGGAGAGTACAAATCTGGTAAGTTTATTTAATGAAAGTTTTTTTTTCTTGTTATATGAAACAAATTAATGCCTGCTTCCTAAAGTCAAATGATTGTTTTTTTTTTTTATCCCAGACTCAGAGCCCGGAGATTTGGCATCAACCCTATCATTGAGTAAGAATGCAAAACTAAACAATTAGCTGCTACATGTTTGCATCCATCATAAAATAATTCCACATCTTCATGTATCTAAATTACTGATCTTTTTTTGTTTTTTGCAGGCATTCTTCTAATTACAGCTGCTATTACCTTTGTCCACTGGGTGTCACTATGACACTACTAATAGTTTATAACAGTGCTGTATATAGTCAAGGGTGTGCACATAAGTTTTTCAGTCTGGTTCTCATAACAGCACCTGGTTAGGTTTGGTCCTCACACTGCACATAGTGTGACCCATTAAATATAACTATTAAAAGATCATTAATAATAACGATAATAATATTATTGCACTTTATTTGTTTAGTTTTTTTTAAATAAAATAATAAAGTGTGATATATTATATTTTTAAATAAAAAGTGAGTATTAAATAAAAATGCAATTATTTTATACTAAACATAAAATAAAATGCTAATATTTATAAAATATATAAATATGAATTTTCATCATTTTCAAACTTAAAATCAACAAGCTTTTATTTTGGCGCTGCGCTGCCGATTGAAGCGCCTCAGTGAATGAAATGTCTCAGTTTTGCATTGTGCTTTGAAAATGGCAGCGGATAGCCTAGAATAGATTTATGATTTCAGTTCGAATAGAAATCTTATACATGTACAGTATTACAGTTTTTCGATTTAAAATAGTAGGCTAATTGTGCATTAACAGCAGTGTTGGGCAAGTTACTCCGAAAATGTAATCAAATTACTGACTACTGATTACCCCTTTTAAAAGTAATCACGTTACTGTTCTGATTACTTTATTTCAAAAGTAATTAGTAATTAGTTACATTACTAGTTACGTTACTTTTTTTCTCCATGAAATGTATGAAATCCCAGCTTACACACTCCCGATAAATATTTGTTATTAAAGCATCAGCATTCCCAGAACACTGTTATTTTTAACTAAAGCAAGTGGCTGCTGCGTGCATGGTTTGGCATGGCCAAAAAAAACTAGAAAATAGCGCTGCATTTATAATCTCTAAAAGACATCTGTTTATCGCAATCTCTGTTATAACACAATAAATATATGCATAATGACTCTTTCATAATGTCTACAATTCGTGTGTTATAATGAGAGGATTCGTAAGCAAGCAAATTTCAGCACTGCATTGCTCAACGCTGCAAACACGTGTTATATATATAACGTTAGTCTAAATAGAAAGTCTGCATACGCTTGCACCTGTTAATCGTTTAGATTTTATACTAGTTCATGTTGCTTTTGTGCAATAGATGAATAACAATTTATTTGTTTTAGATATTTTATGTTTAGATATTTCTATTTTGCGGGAGTCCCGTGAATCATTTTATTCTCCCGCATCACACACACACGAGTGTGTACCCACCCGCCCCAGCACTCGCCCCATGCTTGTCCCATGCAGTGGCGGCTCGTGGTTTTTAAAATAGAGGAGGCACACTAATTGTATTCGTCTGGGATCCCTGCCGATTATTATTATTATTATTAGTCCGTGTGAACCGGAAGTTGCTGCCGACTTTATTTCAGTGTAGTGACGTATTTCCACCAGAAACGGAATATTGAATAGAGGGCGTTTTGATTATTGATTTCATGCGGACTTTAACCACTTTAAAATGGCTTTTTGGTTGCTTTTAGTCAGAAAACGTAAAGAAAACGACATACATACAGCAAGATAATATAATTTCACTTACCTGGCCTATCGCTTGAAGCAAACATCCATCCCTTCTTAAAAGTCTGTGTTAAAAGAGAGCTGCCTGTTGCGCCATTTAATTAAGCCGACTGCTGTAGCCTATATCCAGCTTAGGCTGTTTTCCCTTTTTTTTTTTATTTGTGCCTCCCTTGCGAGGTTTCTTTTCTCAACACTCCTCAGCGCTGAAAGTGAACACTCGATGGTGATTGGCTAATTTTTTACCAATGGAGGCACGAGCATAGACATAATAAATTTATTGTCTAAAAGTCTGTAAATAAAATAAATACATTTATTATGTCTATGGGCACGAGAGCTCAGCTCTTCTCCGGCCTCCCCCTACCCTTGTTTATCATTAGCGGTTGTAATTACATCAGCAGATTCGACACATTCGCGATAGAAAAGCAGCACTTTCACGTTATGGTATTACAACTGAAATGACAAACAAAAAATACTGAAATGGAACTGAAATGAATTGTGAATTTTATTAACATTAAATCGTTCTCCTCCCATTTTCACCTCAAAATTATGGGGAAGCTGTGCTTTCCCTGCGTCCCCCGACGAGCCGCCACTGGCATGGGGGTCAGATTTGAACGTTATAAACAAATTCATCGTATTTTGTCAGAGTTAAGAGGGTTAATGGTCCGTCGCAGAAGGGCACGACAGAGCGGCGCTGATGTCTTAAGAGGGACAACAAGAAAGCCTTCTTGCTAGCTTTGACTCGTGAAACTCAAAGATCAGGCAGATGGATATTGTTATGTCATGCCAAATTCAGACCCCTACTTGGTATCCTGGACCTTTACCTTTGTGTTTGCAGCCCAAACTAAGCACCTCATCGTCATCCCAAACCTGGAAAAAAATATAATAAGCGGCACATCTGTTTTCAAAATTGATAATAACAAGAATTTTTTCTTGAGCAGCAAATCAGCATAATGATTTCTGAAGGATCATGTGATACTGAAGACTGGAGTAATGATGCTGAAAATTCAGCTTTGCTATCACAGAAATAAATAACATGTTAAAATATATTAAAATAGAAAACAGCTATTTTGTAATAATATTTCAAAATATTACTGTTTTTACTCTATTTATGATCAAATGCAGCCTCGATGAGCATATTAGACTTCTTTTGAAAACATACTTTTGAATGGTAGTGTATCATTTAAAATTGTTCAAGAAAGGCCGAGACTTTTGTGCCTCTTTGTTCACTCTCTGAAAGAATGTCAGCATCTTGAGTCTAATTGGTTAAGGGTCTTACCATGCCCACATTCCTTGAGATTTTACATGCCTTGTATGTGGCCCCCCTTTTCAACCGAACCATGTATATCTGCTGCCTGAGACAAATGTGTCCCATTTTGGCATGACAGCCGTCAATAGCATCATTGTGTGGGGATGAGAGGGAGCGTAATCTTTGCCTTGGGGCTCCAGATCCCAAGAAGGACTTTACCGTTTCCGCCAGCTGTGTCTCCCGCACCGGGACGTTACTGTTAAATATTCCTCACAGTTCATCTTTGCCCTCTTCCTGCTCTCTGGCCCCTCCACTTCCTGTTGGTAAAGGGGCAACCCTGTTGATTTACGGCTTGGTGAGTGAGGTAGGTGAAGGTAATTTATAGCCCAGGAACCATTTTCACCTCAAAATTATGGGGAAGCTGTGCCTCCCCTGTCTCCCCCAACGAGCCACCACTGGTCCCATGCCGCACTTTGTTGGGTCGGGTCTCGCTGGAGCAGGTCTCTAATCCACTGGCACTTGACTCCACAGTGCGTGTGCTACATCCTTTTTACAATCTCTAGATTATAAAACACTGCATTCTATGCGTTACTGCCCAACACTGATTAACAGTTGTCAACCATGTCGGTACGCAAATTAAATTATTTACACGGGGCATTTTTTATTTTGGTCTCGCATGCTCACCACTTATGTGCACCCCTGTAAGTGTATAGTGCTCTATACACTACTATAATAGTGTATAAAATAGATGCATTACTCAATCTAAAAAATAAATAAAGATGATGTGTTTGAATAAATCATTTATAATAAAAATTGAAATATTCAGTAAAAATAAGAATTGTCCATTATCAGTTTATATATATATATATTAGTGCTGTCAGACTCAAATGATTAATCGTGATTAAACGCATCCAAAATAAAAGTTTTTGTTTACATAATATATGTATGTATGCTGTGTATATTTATTA